AAACATCTACCCCTCGATCGACATTCAGAAACGCGATGCTTCCCAAGGCAATTGAAACAAAGTCCATCACGTTTGACTGTTTCAAGTCGTTTGTTTTTATCCGTAACTACAATGCAATCGTTATGGTAATGCAGTCCTTTACAGTAGGCACAATTTCTCGGTTTACTCGGGCGCTGTGATTGACGCGTGAATGGCTTAACGTTTGTCTTGGTACCCGTGTAGAATGCGGCGGTGCTTACAAGTGGAAATGCATCCTGGTTTTCGTCGATCGCGTACCCGGCTTGTATTGCTACGATTTCTTTTAACAAAGCTGTGCGTAGGTCGGGAAGTGTCCATTCATTATCGCCATGGTCCCGTGCCATCTGTTTCCGAACGTTCCCAGGAAGTTTTTCCATAATGAGTGGCGTAAGCAAATCACCATAGGAGTTCTCCGTTTTCCCTAACTCTTTCAGTCCGCGTATGCTACTTTCTAAATTGTCGTAAAAGGTACGAAGACTATCTCGGGTATTTATCGGTTTTGGTAACTCGCACAATGACTTCATATACGCAGAGGTAATTTTGTGTTCTTGGCCGTATCGTTTACGTAAAAGTTCGAGTGCATGCGTATAATTATCATTACTTAACTGTAATCCTTCAATTGTTAGTGCGGCGTCACCGGACAGTTTGGCGTGAAGATATTGGAAATTCTGAACCACACCAAGGTGTATATTGTTGTCTACAGCGGCGATAAAAGCGTCTTCAAAACTCGAGTTTCGGTAGGTTAACGGATGAAGAATTTGATGTCACGGCAACACTTGAGTATTTCATTGGCGGGCGATATCTGGCGTATTTCTCTCGATGAATCTTCAAATTTGGATTTCTTGGCAAATATATCGTGGGTATAATCTCCAGTTTCAGCTATTACCGCATGTATTTCGCTTCTATATGCTTTATCGGCAATCAGGGCGTCGAGTTTATCGTGTCAAACTTTTCATGAATTCATTCTTTTAGCATGATGAGTTCTTCGAACTGATTGGGGTCTTCGGCGTTGAACGTAGTCATAATATTTTGAGCTCGGGCGAGCAGTATCGTCATCCTTCCGTGATGAGCAGTCCGTGCATCCATCGTAATTGTCTGCTGAATAACTTGTTCTTTTGAATCGGTCATCCTGGTCTCGGCACCGAATCAGATAACAAGTCAGTTACTTCGAGTTGAGAAGCACGATTACTTTATTCCGTGGTCTAAACACTACTGCCTCGTGTTCGCCTTGGCTCACACATGTGACAAGTTTACAATCTGGCGGGCAATCTCAAGTTACATTAACGTAATAGGCTATAAATTATAGTGACGTAATGTAAGATAAAGAATATCATAAGGTATCCCCAAATATGTTAAACACAGAAATCTGCTCCCAACATTTTGTTCAAACTTGGTATATACATTATACATTAGACAATATGGGACCTTGATGCAAATAATTTTGTTTCTCAGATAAGATTCAAAATGGCCGACTGGCGGCCATTTTGTATTAATGAATGTGGTTCTCGTGCCATATCTCTGATTGCTTTCACTAATTATGTTCAAATTTTAAATATTCATTATACATCATGTCATAGATGGACAGATATATTGGCTTGACGATCCTATTCGATCCTATTTTTGTGCTAAACAATCATCAAATATCAAGCATTTCTGGCATTTATGGATGGATTTTGTTCAAACTTGGTACATATATTATACATTACAGGTTCCTGATGGACATCATTTATTTTCCAGATCGGATTCAAAATGGCTGTCTGGTGGCCATTTTGTTTTAATGAATGGGCTTCTAGACCTATATCTCCGACTTGTTTTGACTGATAATATTTTCAAATTTTAAATATTCATTATACATCATGTCATAGATAAACAGATGTATTGGTTTGACTATCCTTTTCAAAATGGCCGAATGGTGGTCATTTTTGTGCTAAAAAATCATCAAATATCAAGCATCTATGGGTGGATTTCGTTCAAACTTGGTACATACACTAGACATTATGGGTTCCTGATGCTCGTCATTTTATTTTTTAGATTAGATTCAAAATGGTTGACTGGCGGCCATTTTGTTTTAATGATTGGGCTTCTAGAGCCATATCTCTTAAATGCTTTGACTTGTTATATTTAAATTTTATATATTCGTTATACATCATGTTATATATATACATGTATTCAAAATAGCTGATTTTGAATGCTGTTCCAGAGCAATATCTCTCAATATAGACAAGTATTGTTTGACGATCAGATACAAATGTCAATCATTTTAATGTTAAAATATCATATTCCTGACATGGTTATATTCCAGCTATATTACTGTAAACAAAACTATATATCTTAAATTTGATAACTAACGGGGACTGTGCCATGTATGGCTTGTTTATTTTTGCGTTTGATAATTTTTTCGCAAATTACAATTACAATTACTGGTAACAGATGGTTTTCCTTGAAATATTTAAGAGGGTTTTCCCTTTACATTTTGTTTGAAATGTCGATCCTGCTGCAATAGGTACATACATTTCAGGAATGTGTTATTAATGGATTGTCATTTAGTTCCCTCTGATTGGTTTATACTTATGTAGAGGATAAACATGTCATGTCAGCTCGCATGAATGATCAATATAGATCATTCCCAGAAATCACGTTACTATGGCAACCGGATCTAGAACTATGTAGCGACTTGATCATTGTTTCAAGGGCAACCTCTTCTGAAAATGAACATAACTTAATTAGTGATAGGTGAGAAGAGGGTGAAACAAATATATTACTCTATGACATAAAATAATAAAATATTGTAAAAATAAAAAATAAATCATTCCTGAAATTCTTCTTTCTTTGGCAGTAACTACATCTCTACCAAATGAATATATCTCTCCTGAATATTTCATTATAATCCCTCTATTACTTTTTAGTTATAAACGGAAAATCATCCCCAAAATATAAACTGTTTCTATGGCAACAGTACCCACATATCTACCAAAATGCAACGAGCAGTCCGTTTCTGTTCCAAGAAACATCTTTCTTGAAAATTGTATGAGACAGTGCATCCATAACATTTCAAATGCAGTCCGGAACATTCCTTCAAAAGGGACTGAACCAACAGAAATCTAACATCACTTAACATTACGAAAAATTAAACATGCTTTCATATGATCTGGTATTATTTTTGGTAAGATGAAAATAACAAAAATTTAGTTGGCACATCATTTGAGTTATTTGTATGTAATTCAGTATACAATACGTGATCAGATGAACTTATTAATATGTTTTGTGTTTATCGTGCAATGTGAAACTAAATCTATCCGCTTAAATTTAAGCATCTGAATAAAAAAACGCACTCAGAAAATCAAGTTGAATAATGGTCGTTGATGGCACTTCTGCTATCCATATTGCACGTTGTTTATATTAGTTAATATTGATATTTATTCTACAGTTTGAGGAAACGTATCTTCAGGATGCAGCACACGTGGAAAGATTACGTCAAGGTTTGTGTTCTGTTTATTTCGTTTATTTCCGATTCTCACTTTACATACACCTACTGTTTATCTTATAACTTTGGAACACTCCACTCCTACCAGGATACTCCTGTAAATTGAAATAATTAATTAATTAAGAACTTTATCCTGCATATATGTTACCTTCACACATATATTTGTTTTATTTTTTGGTTCGTTTTGACAATAATATTGTTATTCTTTAGCCGGTGATCTGTTATTCAAGCAAGTGCCAATGTTAGAAATTGACGGCATGAAATTGGTACAAACCAACGCTATTATTCGATATATTGCCAGAAAATACGACATGTATGGTAAAACACTGGAACAGAAAACAAGGTGAGATCAGATATTGTGCTACGTCGTGGATTTGATAACGCTGTCAAACAATGACTGTCAGATAAAGACTTGACATTGTTGTTAGTTGCTAGGGTCATAATGTCCAATCGTTTTCCATGCCCCATAGCAAATGAATGAAATGAAAGCTGTATACATACAACGTCTTGATATAATTTGAATTACAAACAATAAAACATCAAGACAGTTGTCCCATGTCTGCAACTGCTAAGCTGACAGGCTAAACATTTTATTTTAGCAAGTAACCAATGTGCGATGGAGTTTTTTCTATGTATCTATAAATGTTGTCACATCGTTATGCCATAATTATACATGTACCTAGATTGTGCATGTTGGCAGATATTTTGAAAGATAATGTAGTATTTCCTTTGTGTATGTGTTTTTTCGATTCAGATATATATTCCTAATGCACATTTTCATAATTAACCACTGATGTTTGGCAGTAAGATATTTTTAAGTGTTTTGATAGACTTTCAATCAATACAATACTACTTTCTATTTAGGATCGATGTGCTATATGATGGTGCACGTGATTTTATAATGAAGTTTGTGTATATTGGATTTAAAAAAGGCATAGAGGACGATAGCAAGGATGTAAAAGCAAATGCCGTACCCAGATATCTTACAGTGTTTGAAAAGGTCAGTGGGTATCGTTTTTTTTAGATTTTGATTTTGATAGTAGTACTGCTTTTTAGTATGTATGTATGTATGTAACATATATATGAACAACATATGCGAACAATATAATATAGATAGTCGTGTTATTAATCATGAATAACAAATCACCAACATAGTATTATGTACCTACACATACTGATTCGATATTCAACAGGAATTGTCTGAGACTTCATCTGGTTATTTTGTTGGGGATCATCTTTCCATGGCCGATTTGGCTGTTCTGGAATCTTTGCTTTATTGCGATGATTATTTCCCTGCTGTTCTTGAAGATTATCCAAAACTGAAGGTGCGTTTTATAAATAACTACTATGAGTTCGGTATAGATATGGTATTCTTATTAAGTTCACGAGCTATTGGCCATGGCAATGAAACTTGTAGTTGTACTACGTGTAGTAAATCATAGTATACGATAGTTTTGTTTGAAATGTCAAATTATCGTAATAACTGTACATAATTGTTCCTGCATATTACAATTGCCAGGAATTCAAAGACAGACTGTCGTCATTACCACGGATCAAGGCATTCCTGAATGGCCCACAAAGAAAAAAAAAGACAACAGAAGAATTTATTCTGCACTGCAGTAAAGTATGGGGCTGGATTTAAGAATATTAACGTTCATTGTGATACATTGAATAAATCATCTATCATCACTAATCTAAGGCGTTACTCGTGCATTTATTGATTGGCTGCTTAAATGAACATGCGACCATAACTGTAGACAAAGCGTATCGATTGTCGACGATTCACAATTGATGAATGTTAAGTATTATAATGTCAGTATTATGAACCATAAGACTTAATTGATGACACAGATACTATACAGTATGCATAGTACAGTAATACAGCATATCATGTCGATGTGCCAAATTATTCCCAAATTCAGTTGTTAAAGCTGTTAAAGTTGTTAACTTTTTTCGAGTGTCATGTATAGAACATAACGTCTGTGTTTTATGATGATGTATACAAAACACAATCCAAGTCGGTGATACAAATATTTTGTTCCATAGATGTGTTTTATCTTGAGATAAAACATAAAAAGTGTGACTCTCGTCTTGCATGTAATGACGATTTTTACTATTTTAGATTGATATCCTCTTTACCAGATAGCTAAGAATTGTTCGTGTTGCGGATGTCTGCAAGCTACCTTCTTTTTCGTCTTATAGTATTATGTGCTCATCAATATATATATATATATATATATATATATATATATATATACATAATTGCACACTGTATTAAGGTTCGAGCTACTGGACACCATTGGTTTTATTTTATTTTTTTATCTGGAAACAATATGGTCAAGTTCAGGCATAGTGCAGTTATATATATATATATATATGACAATGCATATATATTTCAAATTAATATTTCTGATATTGTTTTCAATCATAGTTGTTTTCTAGGAAACAGTTTGGTTTAGCAGACCAAGGTGATATGTTCGGCTGTCTCAATCTACCATGTGTCTATGGTAAAGTGTACACATATTAGGAAGTGTTTATATCACCTATGAGTTTTTAATCAATTGGGAGAAAATACTGCTTGAACTGTTTACATAACACATCTAATATGTTACACAGAATGTTAAAATAATTGTCGTATGATATTTAAATCTTTTCATGTTTAATTAGACAATATTTTACAATATAACATAACAGTGATTCAATTTCACATAGTCCTGAACAATTTGTCATTCGTTAATATTGTCCTAAACCATGTTTTTGATAATCAAAAAATCAAGAAAACATACCCTGTCCATTCTGTCGTCTCAGTAGTAAATACATTAACTAATTATCGAAGCAACCAACGATAAAATCTTACATAACATAGTATAAACAATTTGTTTCGAAGCACATTAATTAATTAATTTAAAGAATGTCATTCCATTTTATATGTTTCAATTTTTACAAATCCATCACATATCGAAGTTGTTTGGTATATATGCTATAGATATTTTTTTGCGTAATATTTTTGGGAAATAGTGAGAACCACACACTGCTTGTTTCCATACCAATCACATCCGTGCGATTGGATGTGATTGTTTCAAAGGAAATTCTTATCCACTTTAAATGATTACAAATTCTAATGTTTGGTTTTTACATGTTAATATGTTGTATATAATTGTAAGTGTGAGCATAAACTAAAATCATGTGTTGCCATATTATTGATGTCACCGGTGTACTTGTGGAGGGCGCATGACCATTTAATGGTGAAGCATGAAACTTATATCGGTCGCAAGTAGCATTATTTACTAAGAACTATCAGAAGGAAATTCGAGAATATTACATTCGTTGCAATATTCATTAGCAGTTTTATCAGATTAAGATGCCATCGTTTATACGTATTTTCTATCTGGTTGTTGTTATTTACATATAATGGCACATGAGTTCATTACATTCGTTTTTTGCAATTGGATGTGGATCGGATTCATCCTTGTTCAATCACTTGACATGAAAACGAACTTCAGTCCAATTTTGGCGATCAGTAATAAAAATGGGTGACTTGCCATGCCTATACTCAGATACCTATACTCCATAAAACACCAAACAGTGCTGCGGATATAGGATTGAACCATCGGATGATTAAATGTTTTGATTCATTTCAAATTCATGATTTATATAATATAATATGTGTATTATAGTAATAGAAATTTATTCAGATAATTTAGAAATTCCAGGTAATGATTTCACAATTATGTTAAAGTAGTAGTGTATAAGGTAGTCTGAATGTTTGTCTTACATCATGATGGTCATGGTGGAATTGATGACCAGGCAGTCTGTATGCCCTACTCCTTGCTGATATTTCTGACAAGGTAGTCTGTGTGTCTTAACCAATAATAATGATCTGGCTGTTTTTTCATAAATAGATGTTTTATCAACAGGGAATCCTAATATACAGCATATGAAATATGGCTCACTCACATAAATATGAATAATACAAAAAAAGGCAGAATTTTATGGTCAAATGAAACATTGTCAATGTATCAAAAAACCCTCATATTTTTAATTACCGGAAGCAACTCACGCCAACGTTTCTTTTTTCACGATATCTGATTGGCCATTCGTCAATGCGGTCATCCTTGCAACCAGTAAGTACGTAACCGGATATGTCTATGCTGATAGTGTATTAGGAGATCAATATACACTCCTGTAGGTTCAGGTCACTTCAAACCTATTTAGCCAGAAAGAAAAAAAGCATCACAATATTTTATTTATTCACACAATCGTCCTTACTGTATACAGCTCTGATACTCTACAAAATTCAAGTGTGGTCAGGATTAGCAAATCTTAGCTAATTCAATTCACAAATAGACGTGTGTGCTAAAAATACAAGCCTGAATTTCATCACGTTTCAGACACACCAACCAGGAAAGAATAAAATGTCATTTACCTTATGAAAGCTAACATTATATATTATCACATGAAAAAAACATGTTTTAAACAAGGTCTGTGTTGATCATGTGTGCGGTAAAACTTTCGCAAATAGATGTACCATATATAAAAAAAAATACGCTACGGGGTCGCGGGGTCATGTTGGACCAAGAAGTTCGTTTTTTCAAAAATTCTATAGAGATATACGCAGTTGTAATAAGAAAAACACGCATATGCTGCAAAAGCAATTTTATGGCCAGAATGTATCCACAATATACTATGTACTTCACTATATGATTATAGCAAATAAATCCTAAGGCTATAGTCTGTAAAATACATTTTCAGTCAAACCTATTCATTCAAATCAGTTTTATTTTTCATCATGTTTGCTGGAAACAATGCAATTATAAAAAAGGAAATCTGACACATATATTTTCTACTAGGCTTATTTAGATTCCAGACATCGCTGTCCTATGGCTCAAGATGTAATCAACACGTACAATCTCAACAGAGAGGGTCCGCCTTTGTCTGACTGGACAAGTATGAATTGGGGCTACTTTCTTTCTTACTTAACAGTATATAAAATAGTTCGTTAGTCGAAAGTACTGTGAATAGTGCTGCGATTGGCTAAATTTGTTGTACTCAAATTGACATTTTGTGAAAAACATACAAACCTTGTTTTGGAATGAATATCAAGTAATTTGTATATAGAAGCAGGCTGGTATTATTGACGATTGGACCCTGTTGCAGAACAAGTGAGTACATTTACCGAGTGTATTATAGCAGATAGATGTGGGGTAGCAGTTTTTATAAAAATAGAAGGCAGTACGATTTGAATATCCAATAAATTGGCCATAAAACTCTACTACATATCACTTATTGGGTAATTGAATCATGCTGTGATAGGCCGATTTATACAAGATCGCTAGTTGGCCAACACACATTCTAGCCGAATCTCCACCACACATGAAGCTCATGGTGTTATATTTTTCACACCACAATGTTACATATTACACACCACACAGTGCCTACATATTACACGCCATATGGATTTATATATCACATATCACATGGCACTACATATTACATACTTTAAGGGTAACAACATATTGTTACAAATTGTGTACAGGTACTACATATTACATACCACATGGTGTTTCATTTTGCAAAGCACTCTTACATATTACACGCCACATGGAGTCATATATGACATACCACATAATGTTACATGTTACATACACATCATGACATGGTACTACATATTACATACCATTCAGTGTTACATATTACAGACCACAGACGGTGTCTCGCATAGCTAGTCAAGAAATATAGCACAAAAACACTCAATTCAATATTTTGATATTCTACCTGAGTGTAGATGTTTAGAACTATTATCAGGGAGGCACGGTAAAGAGAATAAAAACACCTTTTTAAGAGATGATGCATTTAGGAACAGCAAAAAATGGCATGGTAACGACTATTTTGGGTCTAATGATGCAATCCACATTGTTGACGTTAAATTAACGGAATCTACAAAAATAAACATTACAGTGCAAAAGAGTACGTACACGTAGTTTCACAAAAAAGTACGATGTTGAACATATTTGAAATTATAATAGTCAACTACTAGCTAGGGTACAGCACTCCATCAACACCACTGAATCAACAAACCTCCCTTACTGTAATTTAAGTTCATAGAGCCAATCCACAGGTGCATCATTTGCATATTTCCTCATTTGCATTCTGGCGCTCACCGCAATGAAGGCACATTTAACATACTTTGATGGGCGATATTGGGGGAATCGATTAGGCTGATGTCAGCCACCCTTGAAATTTTATCATGCTCTCTATCTTCAAACCTCTATTTTGTTCATTCATCTACCAATATTTACTATTGTTCCGGTAGGGACAATGATTACAATTATCCGTGTGTTGATTGGTCCATGCATAGATATATTATTCCCAGTCTCAATCTACCGGCTTCGAACGGTCTAAAATACAGTGCTATATATTTGCATGTAAAAAAAACTACTGTCCACACGCCGACGTTTCCAACATTATACCAAATTTGTTGCACACGATCAGTGAAAATTACTATTTATATTCACCTGTGTAGTATGAAATCACAAAATCCAGCTATATTGTGTATTTTGCTTGACTCAAATATAGTCACAATAACATTTATTCAGACGTGTCATGGAGGGTTTAATGTGTGGTTTAAATGTGCACTAGAAA